GGTAATAGGAGCCTATATAAGAAAGAGACCCAAAAATCAGGACTGTCCCTATAAAGTCGGGACATCTGGTCACCCTATAACAGACCCATCCCAACGCTGGAACCTCCATTTCCTGAAAATAGAGAATTAAAATTGTCAGAGACAGATATGATGTGTGTGTGTTCACATGGGCTACATGTTTACACTGCTTTATACTCATATGTTTGTTTAAGAAAATGCAAGGTACATCTACACGGCAAAGAAAAACCCGTGGCAGAGAGTCTCAGAGCCCAGGTCACTTGACTCGGGCTCACGGGGCTCTGGCTGCGGGGCTAAAAAAAATAGCAGTGCAGACATTCCCAGGTTGGAGCCTGGGGACCAAGACTCTCCTCCCTTGCCAGCTATTAGAGCCCAGATTCCAGCCCAAGCTGGAACATCTACAGTGCTATTGACCTGGGCACTCAGACTCGGTGCCGTGGGTTTTTCTTTGCACTGTAGACATACCCACACGGAATGAGCTGCTTTTAGAAGAGGAAGACAGTATGCGTGTTAACTGGCTCTCACATCCCTTATATCCCTCTTTTCACACGAGATTACTTAACTTTCAATTCCTCCAAAAAATAATTTCTTCCAAAACTTTTCACTGAATGTTCATTAAGCTATTTTAAGAACTGCACCACAACAATGTTCATACCCGCTACATATTATGGCTGAAGAGTATGGTCCATATTGTAATTTAGATTATAAGCACCTTGGGGCAAAAAATGCATTTCTCTACAGGCCAGATTCTGATCTCACTTACTCAGGTACATACAGGAGAAGCAAATGACTTCAGATTTGCACAGGAGTAACAGAGATCAGAATGCAGATCTACCTTCCTAGAACACCAAGCACAAAGAAATAAAGAAATTCCACAGACCAGAGTACTATAAGCACTGATTGCATCAGAGCAATTAGAGACAGAAAGACACTTACTGAAGTACCCAATACGTCCCTCTGAAAATACAGTATGTGACACCCTTTCCCCCTTCTGCCCCCCACTCCTGATAGAGTTCATTTCAGTTATTACACAGCACACTTGATTTTAGTCAGAAGGACAACACAATAGTTCTATTACTCCTAAAGTTTTCACTTCAGTAACAGATCAAGCTGATCATTACTCAGGCAAGTTCAGAACAGGATTGCTCAGAGAAGTAGTGGGTTGTAGCCCACGAAAGCTTATGCTCTAATAAATTTGTTAGTCTCTAAGGTGCCACAAGTACTCCTGTTCTTTTTGCGGATACAGACTAACACGGCTGCTACTCTGAAACCTGTCAGAGAAGTCAGTTGTCTACCCTGTCAGAAAATAGCTTGTTGCAGTAACAAGCCAAGAGAAATTCAATGCAGTCCATTCTAACCCATTCGCTCTCACACAATATGCCTGCTAGTGTGATGCTGTTAACAGCCGTTAGTCATATGGGCCTGATTCAAGGCCCAGCGAAATCAATGCAAAGACTCCCCTCGACTTGTCCACTGAAGTCACTTGGAATTTTTGCCACCATCTTATTCAGGGCCAGGATTTCATCCAAGATGTTTATTGAAATGAAGCTAGGAGAAAACAAAAACAAAACAAAAAAAAACGTTGTTTCCATCAAAGAGACCAATTCACTTTCTTCCACCACAATTTAGATAGGAAGAATTTGCAACTTTATCACCAGGCAACGTTGTAACTCATCCTTGTCGCTGCTGGACCGGAATCATCCTAGCTGTCTTAGACATATGGAAAGTGACACAGATTCCAAGAATTAATAGCTAAGAACATACAAGGGAAAGGGAAGCATCTTGGGGAAACCCACATATACAGATGCCACTAAAGAAATGTAAGTCACATTAATTCAGTGTAGCATAAAAATATTTGTCATAAAGCCTGATCCCAACAAGAAGAGAGAAAGCATTCCCAGATCAGTCTTTCCTTAAAAAGGAATTCACTAGAACTATACTTCGATTAATCCAGAGAAATTTCAAATGTATGTTCCACTATTGTAGTGGAAAGAGATATGTTGGCTTCAAGAACACAATGCTTGTAGATGGTTTACCCCCAAATAACATGCTGATATTCAGCAGGAAAAGGCTCTCTTATGATGCCACAAAATTAAACATGCTGCTGTAATGCATCAGGTCTCAGGTCTGCATATGGGCAAATTTGTGAATGCTTATTCTTTGACAGTCAGTCACCCAAAGTGTAGAGAAGTTCAAAGGGGAATCCTGAAACACAGAACCTCTGTGGTGAGATTACAAGTGTAAAGGAACTAAACACCTGTAGGCTCAGAATTTGACCTGAGGGGGAAAGAGCACAAATAAAACCCAACAGCTGCAACTCAGCATTTATGAGGAACCCTCCAATGACAAACCTGTATGCAGGAGCCCTGGATAAGAACGTCCCCTGTCCTGATTTTCAGTGTGTGACCGACCCCGTCCGTGTTTTAGAAATCCCAAATAACTCTTGGGGCATACAAAATACCATGCTGTAGTGTCAAGATGTGAGAACATGGCAATATCATGATGCTGTCACAAATGAATTTGTTCTACAGGAACCACAGCCATGAGGGTGGATGAATCATAGAATCATAGAATATCAGGGTTGGAAGGGACCTCAGGAGGTCATCTAGTCTAACCCCCTGCTCAAAGCAGGATCAATCCCCAGACAGATTTTTACCCCAGTTCCCTAAATGGCCCCTTCAAGGATTGAACTCACAACCCTGGGTTTAGCAGGCCAATGCTCAAACCACTGAGCTATCCCTCCAGAAAGGTTTAGTCTTTCACCTCCCGCCCATCCCCCTTTTTTTATAAAAAAATCAAATTTTAAAAATCAATAAAAAATGGAATACATTTAGGTTACAAGATACTTTGAAAATATGCTCTTAAGACAGAGCACGAGAGATATTAGCCAGAGGAAATATCCATAATTTAGGACTTCTCTACAGTGAAAAGGAGCCTGTATAGGGGAAATTACGTTAAGAATATAGCATCTCCAAGACCATATTTAACATGATTTACTCCTACCTGTGTGCATAAAAATCTAAACCATGTCACACCTATATTAATCCGGGCTGTAACATGATTCAATGACACAATTACACCCGTTGGGTCCCTACTACACAAGCAAATCTAAGCTTGATATATATATATATGATATGAGCAGGGTAGGGGGCTAGGATATGTAAAACATGATCCCTACCATATTTATATTGTAACTGGGACATCTTGTTTTTTCAATGCTGGAGAAAGTTAAACTGAGGATCGCATATTGATTCTGTCCACTTACAAAATAAAAAATAAATGCTGAGATAAGTTAATAGTCTTAACCTACAACCTAATTTTACAACAAATTGTATCCCTGTTACAAAAAAATCACCTCTTCAGTTTCCACAAACTGCTTTGGGGCAGAGGGAGGAATGGGACTCAGTGCTGGGACAGGTCAAGTTTGAGATAAATCAGTAATTGTACAAAAACATGTGTATGAACAGCTGACTGCATAATGCAAGGCAGCAGGTGTTGTTACCAGTCTCTTTCAAGAGACGGATTTCATTACTGAATCCACACTTCACCATATAACAAGATGTATTTTTAAAAAGTAATATTCATGCAGATTTAAAATTAAAAATCAGATGTCAACACTTTTCCTTATGGCAGGCAACAGACTCATCACTCAGCCTTTCAAACAGGTATATTACAGGTTTCCCTGTGTGCTCACATGCCCTATGGAACTCTGAATCCTTTGCTAAGAATGCCTGCATTACCATTAATAAGAACTGCTCATAAATGTATTCCTCCTGAACTGATGGGAGAACAGGCCTCAGACTAAAAACAGCTTGTTGCAACACCATTAGCTACTTTTTAGGAGAAAACAGGAAAAGGACACACAGTAGTGTACAGCTCTTTCATTTTAGGTCAGAAACAATGACAACCAAAAGTAACACTGATGATCAGCTTTTAGAGAAGCTCTGTATCTAGTGAATGGTCTTTTACTGCAGTCATATATGTAAGTCACACTTCAAGTACAAAAGTCATGAGGAGCAATGTTGCAGATAAGGTACAACATCCACACTGAGATGAGTTAAACATTGCCAGTATTTAAGAACCATGACCAAGTGGCATTTAGCCTAAAGATGTGGAGTCAGGGGGATTTCGAAGCTACGTTACACACGCACTTTATAGGTGAGGAGTAGACTATACAATTCCACCACCACAAGGGTTGGATTTTTTTCTCCTTGAGGGAGGGAATTTAGAACCAAAAAAAGGACATTAATCATTGTTTGTGTGTTTACTTTCCTGATTATTCAACTGTCCTCACATCCCCTCTCCCACTCTATTAACAGGAAATTAAGTAAATAATTTCAAATAGAAGAGACAGCTCTGCTAACAGCTAAAGCTGTAAGGAAAGGTAGAGTGCTGCTCCCTTTTAAATAACTAGGCAAATAACCCACCTGCAAAAACCATAACCCTTCCCCTTTTTGAGAAGCTGCTATCACAGTGGCCTTTCCCAGTAGGAATATGCTAGGACTTTCAGAAGGAGAAGGGGAAAGTCATTAAAGACCAACCCATTCTTTATTTACATATCGAAAGGTGAAAGCCAGATCATTTGCAGCTCGCCTGCAGGAGTGCATTTTGAAAGACACCCCTAAGACATTCTCATTCAGAGCTCCTTATCTTCCCCCAACCCCTGTGCACCACACCCCAACCAAGACTTCCAATAGACACATTTGTTACTAATTAAGCTATAACACAACTCTTGAAAAGCAATAAGGCATTAGCATGAAGGCGATCATACAATACTTAACTCCGCTCCTATTTTCCCCACAGCTTCCTGCTTCTACATCCAATACCCTTTCCAGATTCTTGTATCTGTCAGCCAGTGCCTCCCGTTATTCCATCCAGGTATCCCGGGTGGCACTGGGTCAGATACATGCGATTCGGGATTCCTTATCAGGCTTAAGCCACCATCATTCCTTCCCCTGTCCTTCAGGGTCGCCGTCACTTACTCTTGAGTGCTGCAATGAGCGACTTCCCATCTTTGATCAGTTCCTTGATGAATTTGTTGGTCTTGTCCAGCTCAGCTTCATGAGATTTCAGCCTCTCTCGGAACTGGGGGCTGTCCAAGCAGCAGTCACTAAATTCCAAAGCAGGTAGTCCCATGGTTTCCTTACACACCCCTCCAACAAACCCTTTATACAAAAAACTCACCAAAGAAGGAATTCCCACCAGTGCAACCAAATATATTGTAAAAAAAAAAAAAAAAAAAAACCCCAACACCACAAGTATATGTTCTCGGTCTATTTGAAAAGAAAACGAAACTATATCCACAGGGTCGCACCCCTCTCTTCGCAATTGGTCACAGATTTCCAGGCACCTTAGAGGGAGGGAGGGGAATCAATTAATTAAAAATAATAAGCAGGTCAGAGGAGTTAATGAGGCTCAGGGTTTGCACTAGGATCCGCCTCAGATGCCAGGGGGTGGGAACAGGAGCAGCAAAGAGGAGGGGGCTCGTGCTGCAGTAGCAGCAATTGCTGCTGCCTGGGGATTGCTCATGGCGAGAACTTCCACACACGCTGCAAACCCAAGGGTGCCTCCGCTGCTGTCTCCCAGCCCATTCAATGCCGCTTGCTACCTAAAGTTCCCCTAGCTGGGCGAGAAGCAAGGAGCCCAGCGGCCTCACTCGGCAGCAGCTGCTGGTCAGCCAGCTAGCCCTGATGGCATCCGGGACCAATCGGGACGATTCCCTTCCCCGTTGGAACGTTGTGTATCATTTTTCCGAACGCGCTTCCCATTGGAACGTCCGGGTATCTTTTTTTTTTTTTTCGAACGCGAGGCCTCCTCTTGCGCCAGCCGGAGCCAATCGGCGCAAGAGCTGCTGGGGGCAGGGAGGGGAGAGGGAGGAGGGATGCCCCTGAGATGATACAACAGGCGAGGGGGGCGTGGCTAGGCCTGTGTCAAGTCGCATGAAGGAGGAGAGGGAACCCCCACCGCCTCTTAAAGGAATACTGTAGCTACCGAGACGGCGGGAGACATGGGGGAGGTGCTGGGACAAGAACGGGGGTTACTCAAGGACATTCCTCTGAAACCTGTTGCTACAACCTCATGAGGGACCAGAGGAGACCCCACAAGAACAGTGCAGGAATTGGGGGGGGGGGAGCACTACTAAACTTTCCCTGTCAGGAGAAGAGGACTTTCCTTCTCAGTGCTGTACAAAAACTTTCTACACACCAACCCTGCATGGGCTTACATGGGGCACTGGAAGGCAGGAGACCTGGGGTCTGTTCCCACCTCTGCCAATAGGCTACTATGTGACCTTTGGCCAATCATTTCACTCCTCTCTGCCTTGATTTCCCCTCCCACCCTTCGTGTGTCCGGATTATCTATATTGTAAGGAGTGCTGGTTGGGATGGTTTCTGTTTGTTCCTGTGACATATTGCAGTAAAAATAATTTTTTTGTAAGTTTAATTTTTTCTTCAAAGGTGTTTGAGGTTTTGCCAATAAAACTTCAACCCAAAAAGTGTGTGTTTGGTTTATTTTAAGGTGAAAACAGAAAGGTTTTTCTTTGAATAACTGAAAATTTTTGTTGAAAACACATCAAAAGCAGAAATTTCTCTTCTGATGAAAAGGTCATTGTTTCACAAAAAAATGTTTAGAACAATAAATTTTGACTAGCTCTAATTGTAAGCAGCTCAGGGCATGAAACATCTATTAATATGTCTAGTACAATGGAGCCCCAGTAGTACTAAAACATACACAGCTTGTGGATTATTAAATCCTATTTTTCTTTGTATTTATTTAAAGATAGCAATGTGCTTGGGGCTGTATAATGCACACAGAGAAGCCCTTCTCCAAAGAATGTGTGGTCTAATAGTGACTCATGTCGAAGATTCAATGCATTGGGAAAGCCAGAGCTGAGGATGACTTGCTCAGACCATTATACCAGGCCTATCTCTGTAATACAGCATACAATTTTTGTGTTATGATTCTGCAGCTGTGATGACAATACTCATGTTTTTTAAACATGGCTGCCACATACATGATCCCTTACAATAATGACACTTCAGCATTTAAGTCCAAGCAGTGGTGGTACTAAACATAAGCAGACTTCAATCAGGGCTCCAAGCAGCTCAAAGGGGCCCAAATTTAGTATTACCCTCAAAATACAGTTCATCTTATTCAATGTGGACTTTTTAACGAGTGTATTAGTACATATAGTGTTAGTGTTGGTATATTTTTTGGTTTGTGGAAATAATGAAATTAGTAATTTTAGCTGTGGGGGAAGCAAAAAATATTCCTGCTTAGGGCCCCTAGTAGGCTAGCATTGCCTCGGATCCAAGACTGTAGTAAACTGTTGTACTTTTTTAGTAAGTGTAATTTTCAAGAAAAACATGTAATTTAGTGGGTCAGCTGTTGCTGGAAGCAAGTCATGTAACCATCCTATGCTTTGGTTATTCCAGCAATGAAATGGAGATGATAGTACTTCCCAGAGGCATTGTGACCCTTAAATCATTAAAATTCATCTACAAAGGGAAAAAAATGAGCTTGTGTGTTTTTTTACTTCTTTATTTTATAAAGAAGGCCCAAAAGGTTTGTGGTTCTCATTAAAGGGCTTGGTTTTGTTTATGTCTTTTGTTTTTTTCTACATCAGAAATTCAGATCCTGTGTAGCCTAGAAGACTTCATAGCCCTGGGGCTCCATACAGGCAGACCCTTATGTCTAAATCCAAGCCACTCTGGCCTTTTGTGTTGCCATATCATGATAAAAACTCATATCTAATTTTCTGTCCACTTACAACCCTAGGTCTCTTTCAGCATTGCTGCTTTCCAATTACACATCTGCATTTGTGATTATTTCCCCAGATTTATTAGCAGGAGATGAGAAATAAGACTTTAATCTTTGAAGACAATTTGTCATGAAGGGTGGGTTAGCATGATTTAACAGATTAGCTCCACAGAGAGAGACTTCATGGAGGTACCATGACATGCTAGCAGCCCTACTCTGTCTTTCCAGGCTGAGAGTGTAGGTGCAGTATATCCCCTCTAAATGTGTTGCACTTAGCTAGGCGTGTAGGATGAGGGATGTGTAACTATATCGCACAAATTCAGGTACTTTCATTTTCAGATGAATATGTTTAATTTGGATAGGACAATATTGAATGAATGCATTTGATAAACCAATGGGTCTCAAACTTTTTTACTGGCAACCCCTTTCATATCGCAAGCCTCTGAGTGCGACCCCCCTAATAAATTAAACACACTTTTTAATATATTTAATACCATTATAAATGCTGGAGGCAAGCGGGGTTTGGGGTGGAGGCTGACAGCTCGCGACCCCCCATGTAATGACCTCGTGACCCCCTGAGGGGTCCCGACCCCCAGTTTGAGAACCCCTGTGATAAACCATGTCAATAGGGGTAGCTGTGTATACTTCTAGACACCCTATGTATTCAGAACAAGCATGCCGCTGCCCATTCACCTACCGCTCTATTCAAGACTGCCAGACACAAATTCCAACCCACAAAGCAATTACTATTGTTGATTCCTTTAGCCTCAACTAGCATGAGATGCATGGGGGCTAATTATCAGTATTAAAAAAGGAAACAGCAACAGTGGTGGGTTGGCGGCCCTATGGCGTTCTCTCTTTTACTTCTTTCAGCAAATGACTGAGCCATGTTCAGGCTGAATTCATCCCAACTTCAGCCTGCTGCATTTAAAGGGATACTAACATACTTTTTATGCTACCAGAGCAACTGAGAAGAATGGTGCCTGAGTAAAGCTTCCTCAAAGAAATCTGTGAAACCAACACAATGAATATAAAATACTAAATAATCCAGTACAGTACAGCTTTAAACAGAGTTTTGTGCACACCAGAATGAAACATCTCTCGTTTTCACTGAGATTTATTTTCTAGCTAGTCCATAACACACAACATAAAATATAAGCATGTGCATAAGTGAATATATATAAACCCAAATGGTTTGGATCCGAGCTACCTTAGAGAATGCCTTTCTCCCTATGCACCATCACAATGGCTGTGATCAGCTATGAGCCCTGTTGACAATCACTGGATGAGCACTCCCAGCAATCAGTATTGAGCTCTGGAATTCCCTTTCTTGTGAGCCTGAAATCGTTTGCTGTCAGAGCTAAGTCAGGCTCAGGAGAAGGAGGGATTTCTAATTCTGGCAGTGTCACTGAGTAGCCACACCGCCGCCTTTGTTTCCCTCTCAAGTGAAATGGGAGTAAAAATAATTATTATGGGGGAAGGGATAGCTCAGTGGTTTGAGTATTAGCCTACTAAACCAAGGGTTGTAAGTTCAATCCTTGAGGGGGCCACTTAGGGATCTAGGACAAAATCAGTACTTGGTCCTGCTAATAAAAGCAGGGGGCTGGAATTGATGACCTTTCAGGGTCCCTTCTAGCTCTATGAGGAAAGGTATATCTCCATATATTATTTGCCTACCTCAGGTGTAATGTAAAGTTTAATTAGCTAATGTTTACATAGCCTTCCTTCACTACTATAAAGTGCTAAGTTATTATTTCTCACTTTAAAATCTTCTACCATTGATGTTTGGTTTTGTCTACAATGGGCCAAAATGCCCCAGCATTTTTTATTGGTTTTGTATACTTACAGTGTTACTGTTTTAGTTTAATGTTAATACGTTGATGAGACCAACACTTATCAAATGGCTAACACCGGAGAATCTATAACTAGTTGGACACTCGCAGTAGATGTTACTGGGGCTGAAAGCTGAATTCTGTACAAATAATTTGTACTGGCAGTTTGGGGACAAGTATACCTAGTGAATATTTCCTGATGTTTATCATCAGAGGGATATTGGGAGTCATTTAGGGGAACAAATGTCAGATGAGGCATTTTGTAAATAAACTTAATATTTTTTTACCTGTCCTATATGGGGAGATGGTTTTAAATGATGTAAAATCTGAAATATACAATTCAAAGGGGAACAGGGAAGAGAATAGAGTCTAATATTATTGCCTTTGAAAGCATTTCATAGAATATATCAGGGTTGGAAGAGACCTTAGGAGGTCATCTAGTCCAACCCCCTGCTCAAAGGGGGCCTAACCCCCACACAGATTTTTGCCCCCAATCGCCCCCTCAAGGATTGAACTGGTAACCCTGGGTTTAGGAGGCCAATGCTC